TATTTAGAAGTGAGCAAGCGCCTATGCCGAGCTCCACGTGTGCAGCCCGTACCTAACCCGATGGCCTGGATTGCGGTGTAGATGTCTGCAGTCTAATGGCCAGTCTTGACGGCACGAAACCTGCAGGACCCGATGGACCTCACTCGCCAATTTTTAAGTCCTTATCGGTCATCATCTCGCCTGCTGTAATGGATCTGTTCAATAGGTCGCTGCCCGAGGGTGCAATGCCGAGGGACTGGAAATGTTCGGTAGTGAAGCCGATTCTATAAGGCGGTGACCCATGAAATGCGAACAATTACCGGCCGATATGTCTCACATCTGTTTTGGCGAAAGTGCTCGAGAAGATTGTGAAAATAGGTTTTCTCCAGCTGCTGCGGTCGAAAGGTCTCCTAACGCCGGCACAGTACGGCTTCATGAAGGCCCACAAGTGCATCACCAAACTGCTGTTGACGCGGCAGGAATGGTCGCAAGCGTTGAATCGGGGAAGGTAGTGGATGTTATCTACATTGATTTAAGTAAAGCTTTCGATAAAGCGAACCATGAGGTCCTGTTCCACAAGCTGAGGATGTGTGGTGTTGGTGGTGCATTGCACCAGTGACTCCCTTAGTTGGAGAAGATGGTGAATTCAGTTGGATAACGACTTAACGGAATGGGACGCGTCCACAAGCGACGCACCCCAAGGCACAATACTGGGGCCCGTATTACTCCTAATCCACATCAACGAAGTACCTCAGCTTCTTCGGCTGCCCTGCGCATTGTATGAAGACGATCTGAAGAATTGGATTATTGAATCTTCCGACGACTATGACGTCCTTCAGTAGGACCTCGATCGCGTTTGCCAGTGGTTTGCAGTAGTAGACATCCCGGTCAACCCGGCCGTCCTCGTTTATGAGCCTGGATAAGGGCGGTAATGGGCGTGTGTACATCTGGCCGGTCACCCATCTCATCCCACCAGTTCCGTAAGGGATCTAGGCGTACTCTCACACTGATCTGAAGTCTGTCGACAACACGAACAGACTGTACGGAAACAGACAACGACTGGTTGGGTGCTTAGACGCAGTTTCTGCGATTGTACAGAAGGGATTGCCACTCGCTTGTTCTCTTTTCATGATAAGACCGGTGCTTGAGTACGGCTCACCCGCTTATTGTCCGATCATATTAGATGAGGTGCAGAGAATGGAACAGGCACAGCATGTAACTATCCGGCTCATCCCAAGTTTACGGGGTATGTCGTACGAGGACCGATGTAAGAGACTAGGGCCTTATACTCTGTCGTATCGTCAGCTCCGAGTCGATTACATAATGACGCACCGGATACTGCATCTGGGCCACTTCCCTATGTTGAAGCAGCTGCTGCACGTTCGCGTACCAAGCAGCACACGCGGACAGCAGTTCCAACTAGTGGTATCGGATTTAAAGCACATCGTTCACCCTCCATGCTTCGAGCGTCAAGTGGTGACATATTGGAACAAGTTGCCGAGGACGTAAGCTGCGGCGAAATCAGCTTCGGAATTTAAGAATCCTTGACGACCCCTTTACGGACTATAGGTACAGGGAGCACATCGCACCCGGGTAAGATGTAGTGCTGCTGCAATATGCTACCACCACGTAGGAATCAGCGACGTGATTCCGCGCATGTGCCCGATTCACCTACGATGGAGCAACACAGATTTTTCTCTGCTCGCTACCTGTTCGCAGTATTCAGTATTCTTCACATCTCCAAAGCTGGGTCGGCGGGTGGTTACCTGAAAAATTTGTGGCGTTTTGTCGTACCTTAGAGAATGCGAGTAAGCCCACCAGCAAGCTAGTTTTGTCGCGTCGCTGAAGATGTCTCGGTCGCGTGCTGCGTATATCGGCTCAGCGCTCGCCCAATTGCGCCCTTTTCGCTCGTGCAGGACTTGGCTGGAAGAGACTACGTGGCGGTTAGTCATCCACTTGGCGAAGCATATGAAATTGTTGACTTCACGCCTCGCTGCCATTGGATTCACACGTCTGCCTGGGTGGGGACCAAACGAAGAGTACAGATGGCCGAAAACAATTCAGGATATGACGCGAAATCGAAATCAATAGAAGATCTGCCTACACACTTGTTTAGATTCAGATGCTTAATGCTTAACCATAGAAAAAGAGAAAAAGATGAAAAAAGCGTGCGAAAAAGCGACAGAAAATAACAAAAATGTTCAGTTCCTCTTGCGACACCGTAGCTGAAAAGTATTGTTCACATTCAACTGGTGTGCCATGATGATGATGCGTTGAGTAAACCTGTATCTTCCCAGTGATTGCCATGGTTTTGTTCGGCTCCATGTCTATTGTTTAGACTGCTTCTAATACTACTACTATTCCGCCACGGTTCCGGTGGCATAATATCTGTGCCACGGATTTGAGACCGCTTCCAACCAAATTAGAAATGAAAATGTGAACGGTGAAAAGGAGACGCTGCGCGCCTTGACGTCTGAGGTTAATATAGTCAATAACAGACCGTCATCACCATCATCTTCATTACACGTTAGCTGGAGGTGGAAAACATCTCAGCTATTGTGCCGCAATACAAAAGACAAGAAAAAGAAAACAAACAGTGACACGTCCGTTGAGTCTCCAGCGGAGAGCTAACAGCTGGCTATCGTGCCATAAAAAGAGTTATATTAAGCCTAACGAGTGAGATCGTGTTTGGAGGAGGATGCTAAGCAGGAGGGGGATAGACAAAGGAACTCACAACACAAACGCCATTGGTGCCGGCTCCTAGCCATATCAGCAAGTGTGTCCAACCAAAACGTGTTCACCGTCCTTAGGACTCCAGCCAGGCAGTCTGGATGCACCAACCCACGCCAACTTCGAAGTGAGGGTTTTCATTTCTCTCCACCAAGTCATCACTTGGCCTCCCCTCCTCCTCTTCCAACCGCACCCACAACGCGCAAACAATGCACGTCACGGGAGTCGGTGTGCTAGCATGCGCAACACGTGGTCCAGCCATAGGAGCCTGGTGCGTGATATAATGGTGCTGAGCGGTTCACTCGCTCTTCCTGCACCAAATACGCGACGCCGAACACGCTCATTGCTCACGCGGTGTTCCCACCAGACGTGAGCTAAGTTGCGAAGGCAGCGATGATCGAATGTGACGAACCTCTTCATGTCTGTCGACCTGATGGGCCAGGTTTCACAGCCGTATAGGAAAGTTGAACGGGCGGCTGTGTTATAAACTCTACCCTTGAGGGCGAGAGTAATGTCGCGTCTGCGCCACAGGTGGCGGAGATTGGCTAAAACACCTCGAGCTTTTGCTATACGGTTCGTAACCTCATCTTCAATCCCACGGGTGCTAATACAGCTGCCCAGGTACTTGAATTCTTGAACGACTTCTAGCAGATCACCACCAAGCGTTAGCGCAGGGTTGGGTCCCTGCCAATCTTGGAGCACTTTGCATTTCGATGGAGCAAAGCATAGTCCAAAACGATTGACAGCCAGTGCTAATCGGTCCAGTGCTACTTGGCATGTTTGGGAGCTGTCACAGATTAGGGCAATATCGTCCGCATACTCCAAGTCAAGAAGTCGCTCACCAGGAAGTAGCTCCACACCTTCTAGGTCATGTCCAGCGAACGCTGTTTCCATGACTTCATCAATAGCGAAGTTGAAGAGGAAAGGTGACAGCGGGCGCGCGTACACACACCAGAGCGTTAGGCACAGAATAGCGCAATCTGGATGGGCGGAACAAAAACAAAGCGATCGGGCAGCCTTCGGTGGCCTGAAAACAAAGCAGACACTGACGATTAAACTGGCAAAAAGGATGCGAAAGCAGTAACACGAACGTCATGGTGGTTCTTAGGATGAACGATATCCAAGCCACATGAGGAGCTCATAAAGCATTTGGGTGTTGATGGAGCACAACTTTAAGCAAACTATAAACAAATGCTGAGAAAATGGAGAAAAAAGCAATAAGTTAAGGAGGTGAGCAGCGAACTGTCGTGAGCCAAGGGAAATGCGACCAGATTCCTTATAAGCAGTGATAGTGCCATTGTATTGTATTTGTTTGAAGTGAGATACCACCGGTGCCCTCGCAACTTAGCTCATATCTGGTGGGAACACCGTGTGAGTAACGAGCGTGTTCGACGCCTTATTTACGGCACAGGAAAAGGAAATGAACCGCTCAGCACCGTTATTTCACGCACCAGGCTCCGATGGCTGGGCCACGTGTTACGCATGCCAGCCCACCGACTCCCGCGATGTGCGTTGTGTGCGCGCCGGGGGTGTGGATGGAAGAAGAGGAGGGGTGGCCAAGCGATGACTTTTTCTAGGGGAATGAAGGCCCTCACTTCTGAGCTGGCCTCGGTTGGAGCGTCTCGGCTCTCTGGTTGGGGTCAGAAAGACGATGAACACGTTTGGTCGGACGCACTTGCTGATATAACTAGGAGCCGACCTCAGTGGCGTTCGTGCTGCGAGTTTCTTTGTCCCACCCCATCCCTCTTAGCCTCCCCCTCCAACCACGATCTCATTATTTAGCCTTATAAATTTTGCATAGTAATTTTTTTGATGCACAGTAGCCGGCTGGTAGCTTACTGGAACGATGCCCATCCGTTACCGGTAGCTCAGCTGGCTTGCACCAGTCGCATTCTTTTTCTCTCTCCTTTTTTCTTTGTATTGCGGCACAGTAGCTGAGGTGTTCCTCACCTCTAGCTAACGTGTATGATGATGATGATGATAGTGCCATAGTGCCACAGTAACTGAAATAGGACAGAGGACAAGTGGTGGCTCTAAAACGTTTACTGCATACGTAACTCAATCTAACATAGCGGCAAACGGGTCAGGAACTCGGGTTAAATCGCTGGATCGGGGAGCAGCCCGGAAGAAGGCATGGGCAAAAGTAGACCAATGCAAAGCGAAAGAAGGTTCGGTTTGAAAAAATATGTGAGTTTTGAAATCTGAACGTGAAGAAGATATCGTGAAACAAAACCAGTGAAATCATACGATTTGACACAGTAAACTGAGGCCACAACAGAGAATGCACTAACTTTCTTCATCGCAGCACATTTGGCCATCTCTGTGAAACCAATCATTTTGTGCGAAGTGACCATTTTGATAAAAGGAAATTCAGACAGCTTGGCAATTTCCACTGCGAGTGCCGTCTTTCCTGCTTTTGGTGGGCCCTCGAGGAGCAGAGTGAGGGGACGATATGTCTCCACGTCAGCTTCACCCACTGCCTTAACGGCAAGTCGACCCATTTTGAGGGCCTCGGAGACAGATTCGCCCCACATCATGATTCCGCGGGGAGCATAACAACTGAGCTCCTCGTCAGCCGTTCCAAAAGCCTGAAGGAGTAAGATGTGGTAGAAGATCCAAAAGCATGCATTCAGCTGAGCAGACAACAGTTAGTTGACAACAACCTCAAATATCACCAACATAACCATCACTAGGGCGGAGAAAGAACAAACCGTGGAGCTACAAAGGAGTGACCGTAGTGAGATTACGATGACTCACCGGCTTCACATCGTGTTGCAGGGCATACATGAAATCGGCCCGCTTGACAAGCAATCGGTCAAGGGCATCCGGATCCAATTGAGTTTGACTTGAGGGCTGTAAAGAGTAAAGTGATATGCGGAGAGAGTCAAAACATCGGTAAACGAAAAGGAGAGGATATGGCATTTGGGTGAGAAAAACGGGCGGAAAAAAGCTGCTCATTTCTAGATGTTAGACGAAGGGCAAACAGTGACGGAAAAAGATGGAAGAATGGAATATTACTGGTAAAAAAACCAATGGTTAACGAGTCTCGTGGGAGGCAAATTATTGCGAAAAGTAAATTGCATGATAAAGTGAAAAGGTGGACTCACCACAGACTTAGGTGGAGTGGCGGGGATGTTCGCGTATTTAAATTATAAATCCATTGGTTGGGAGTTTGATCGCGTTTTGTAACCCCTGGCTAACAATTCATAAAATGAAATGTAAATAAGACAATGCATCGTCAACTCGTTTTGTAAATATCGTCAGATTGGGAGCAGAGACGACATAACTGGGGAGGGCGTTCTAAGGCTGGCACACGCGGAGGAATTGCTACGGCATTCCAGTAGGCTATATTGTATTTTCAGTTTCAGAGGATGACCGCTTAGGGTAGTGTTGTGGTTCAATTCCAGCAGCGGACGGCAAATGAGATTCCTCCGGAAAAGCCGATATCGACTGCTGTACATTCTTAGAGATTTCAGTCTAAGCTGATAAGGCAGATGTAGGAGGCCCCTGACGTTCTTGGTTGCCTTTCGTGGAGGAGTCTCGAGAGCAACGAGATCCTGTTTCTGCCACGGCTGCCACGCCTGAATAGCACATGCCACGTGCGGTCGCACGTAGGCGTTAAGTATTTGGGGAAGATTGAGGGTTCAAACCGACCGAAGGTTCTGCAAGCAGGCCGAAGTGTTGATTGCCCGTTCTCGTCGTCTTCTCTACTTGTTTTGAACACCCGAGATATTCCTGTGCCGATAAACCCAGGTCACGCTCCTGAGAGGCCTTCTCCAAGGTGTGGTCTCCAAGCTTGTAAGCGTTAACCGGCTACTGACGCAGATGGATCACCTTGCAGTTACCTATGTTTAACTGGAGCAGGTTCCTCTTTGACCATTCATAAATGCAATCTAGGTCATGTTGGAGTAGATCGTGAACTTCATTGTTATTAGTCGCCCGCCATATCTCGACGTCATCGACGGAAAACAGGAAATTTGAGGAGATAACTCTTGCCAGGTTGTTGATAAACAACAAGAATAAGCGCCGTGCCAGCACTGAGCCTTGTGGAACACTATATGCTACCTCAATCGGGTTAGAGAGTGATCCCCAAATGCGTACTTGAAGCTTTAGTTGTCAATCCAACCAAAGTGCAGTATCTCCGATTCTCTAGCTCTGTATCCGGTGAAGTAGGATGCGATGATCCAGGCAGTCGAAGAATTTGGAGAAATCCAGATAGATGACGTCATCTCCGACCCCATCATCAGCCACTTCCGTCCAACTACCTGGTGCAATAAGTAGGTTGGTGGTGCATGACCGGTGTTGACGGAAGCCATGCTGGTCCGGTGCCAAGATGTTGCATTTTTCCAGGTAGTCCATTAAAACCTCAGCGACGACTGCTTCCATGAGCTTTGCGAGCACAGGTAGGAGAGTCATTGAGCGATAGTCTGCAGTCTCTGAACGGTTATCGCCTTTAAAAATGGGGCTGATGATGCTACACTTCCACATAGTGGGGACTTGTTGTTCATCAAAGCACCTTTGAAAGAACTGTGACAGTGGTTCAACTAGCTTGGTGGCCGCATTCTTCAGTGCTTTCTGGCGGATGTTGTCTGCTCCAGGAGAGCTATGATCGCGCAGTGAGAGTAACTTCCTTAGCACAATTAATGCGTTAAAAATTACATGTATAAGCAATGGAGTCGGGAATGTGCATGACATTATGGGACAGGCAGAGGCTGCAAATTTGAAAATTGGGGCGTATTGTAGCCGCAGGGCATTAGCTGCTTCTTCGGCGCATTGTACTCTACCGCCTGTCGCGAAAAGTTGAGGGATTCCATGCTTCAGTTTATGAAGATTGTTGACATGCCCTATACAGCAGTTTGTTGTTTGCCAGGAATTGTTTGGCTAGGCACTGTTGATAAGTTACTTTGTCCTCACGGACAAGTGCAGAGCAATGGCTGCGATGGGTCAGGAAATTGTCCCAAGTCTCTGAGTCGGGGGTTAATCTTGTAGGCACGCCATGTTGCGTTCCTTATCACCAGGCATTTTCGAGTCCTGCTCCTTAGAATTGAAGGTATTTTTGCGGGACGAAGGAGCTTGGTCTCATGCTCTGTTGACGATGTCGCTGAGTCTATCAACGAACTCTGTCCAAACGTTGTCAAAAGGACTGTTTTATGAGAATTCTCAAGCAGCTGTGTCGATGAGTTCTTTCAATACGTGGTAACGTGTGACTGTTTGAATTAGCTCCGAGTGTTCAGATGGATATTTTGCATAAACCACATAGTTGAACGTTGTTACTACATGGTCACTGAGACCAAATGGACTATTCATTAATAACTTGTCAACCATGAACTCTTCATTCGTGAAGACAAGATTCAATATGGACAGTTTGTTTGCTGTCCCGAATCTAGTGGGCGTGGTGACATGATTATACAAGGGAATATTAGCGAGCATTTCATGCAAGTCTGCTTTGAACTGCTCACTGGGTAATGCCGATACCTCCAGGTCGTGTAGATTGAAGTCCCAGGAGAGGAGAATGTGACTGTAGATAGTGCGTGTTGCTCTGTTCAGGCCACGTATTAGGCAGCAATAAATTTCCGGAGTGGACGTTGGGGGGCGGTAAACGACAGTTACGAAACATGCGTTGTTGTCCCAGTCGGAGACGGCAACAGAGTGAGTCAGTAAAGTGAGTTTCCAGATTATCAAGTATTACACACTGCAGGTCACTGCGGTAGAAGAGTAGGACCCCACCTCCAATGGTGGGGCGATCGTTCCGGATGAGTGACATTCCCGCTATCTCAACCCCAGCATCAGTCACCTCTGGGTTTAACCAAGTTTCGGTAATAGAAATTAGGTCCAAAGAATTCGCAACCTGACGTAGCCGAAGTTCGGTAAGTTTACTGAGGAGCCCTTGGGCGTTAGTGCACATATATGAAAGTTTCCCAGATTTAAGCAATATTCCGGAGGTCGTGCGAGTCATACTTTACCGATATTACTAAAGCACATAGATGGGGCCTTCAACTTGACCGTTGCTGTTTCACTATGGAGTACCGTTTGTTACGCTATTTACTGCGGATATATGCATTTTCTTGTGCCAATCTCCGAAGTTAGTTTATCTGAACCATTCTAAGGGCATCAATGAAATCCTACTCAGCCGAAGGTATGAAATCGCTTTGAAGCGCCGCGCGATGCGCACCTTATACCGTATGAGGTAAAAAAAAACAAGAAACACGAGCAAACGAATTTTCAAGCAACATGTTGGTAAAATGAGAACATCGTGCTGATTGGCAAGTTGGCCTGAGACACTGTCCTGTAAATAGAGAACAAATTCTGCTGGTTCTCTCCAGCAAATTGCGTTCTCTCCTCTGTACAATAGCTGTCCTTACTGCCACTACGATGCGTAAGGAGTTTGCAAATACAGGTGTTAAGATGCTTTGAGAAACTTGGCTCCATCCTGACGCTGAGGACGAGGTTATCCAACTCAGTGACTACAGCGTCATAAGGACAAATAGACCTGGAAGGCCGCATAATCGAGAAGGCTGCATCAGTTACATCAGCGAACTTTGGTGTAAATCGGCAGCTTAGTTGTTTACATACTCAAAAGCGAAGGGTAGCTGCCATTTAATTGAAGGCAAACCAAGGCTTTTGAGCAGATTTTATGGTGAGGTCATCGGAAATGTCCATGGTGAGTTGAAGAACTTTGCCGATCATTCTTTTCCCTAGCGTTACTGCCCAAAATTGAGAGCTCCCTCTGTATCGCTGTTAGTAATTTCAACAAGAGTGACACAGCATTCATCAAGTCTCTCGCTCTAATAAAAATGCTGAACTTCGAAACAACATTGAAAGCATAGGTACCAATAAAACTCAGCTGTTTCCTACACCAAAGAGAGATCCTCTCGGAAACTCAAATCACTGAATTCTGAAAGTGTGTCCAGTCATGTACTGCGAAACCAAATTTGATTGACAAAAAACATTCAAAACTGTCAGAGGACGAGACTGCTCGACAGAAATTATCGCGAAACTCCAAGCGACATTGGCTTCCACCGACCTTTCATTTTAAGAACGAAAAGATATCTTTGGAGTGCGACTACTTGAGTGGATACATCAAATTCTGCTTCGATTTGTACTGCCCTGTCGAGACCATTTACCTAAGGATGGGTTGTACTTCTTCGATGCAACTGAAGCAATTTGGAGAAAGAAAGAACAAGCCTATGAATACAAAATGTTAGGAGACTCTCTCAAATCCGAGATAAAAAGGTTGAACCGTTTATACATTAAGACTGTGCTGGGTTCTCACGATTGTCGCGATCTTTGGAGACTTGAAACACCCATATGGTCATAGTTCCCATAAATGCATGGATAACATCGTTGTGAATAAACTCAACACTGGATTCTGCTCTTCGCAACGGGACATATTTTCTTAGCACCACTTCACCAGCCTAACTTTGGTAGTCACCTTTGACAGGTTTAATGTTTGCCAACAACTCATGAAATTAAAGGTAAATAAGGCTACTGATCCTGATGCATTACCACCACTTGTCCTAAAGCACTGTGCAGATTATCTTACAAAACCTATAACGGCAATTTTCAATTGATGTCTTATGAAGGGTGTCATCTTTAAGATTTGAAGACCTGTCGGGATAACATCTGTGCCCATGAAGGACTCTTAAAAGTACCGTCCAATAGCATATACATCGGTGATCTTAAAGGTCATTGAGAAACTACTTGCTCATCAGATTTTCACACACGCACCAATGCAGGCGACATATACCAGTTCGCATACAAACGTGGCCGCTTTACACTGGATGCTTTGTCATATTTGGTGCATTTTGTAGCACCTGCACTGGGTGAAAAAAGCGCGTTATTATGCCTTCTGG